ACACCTAGTAGCATTGAGACAAAGATGCTTCCTTCCTTAGTATTAGGATGGAGACAGAGATAGAGAAAGAAAAATATAAATATGCAGTTCATTTAATCCCTGCCATCTCTATTTGGTGAAAAACTGTATTAAGACGACACCAACCCCTGCATATGTAATTTTGTATAATTATACTTGTGTAACTACAGGTAATTACTTTCTATCACCCAAGAAGGTAGAAAATCCTCTTAAAAATTTGAACATGAACCTTAATTCTGAAATAATGTTTTTACCGTTACCCATAACCTCTTCCACCTTCACATTTTAGTCATTTTTCCCTCCAGGATGATCCTGAAATATTATGAAAAAGTTTTGTAAAATGTTTCATGTTAAAACACATTATATCGTTTAGAAACAATTAAAAAAAAAAAAAAAAGCTTATTTTCTCCCCAGTCAATACAAAGGAAAGGAAAACAAAGCAGCTAGGGAAAAAAAAATGCCTTGTCTGATTTTAATATCTGCTTTGATTCAGAAGGGATCAGAAAGATGAACTACAGACATCTCCTTTTTCACGCTCATCCACTAGACTGAACAAGGAAAAATTCACAAATAGGCTACAAATTGGAAATCAAACCAGAGACAAACTCTGAAAGGGCTCTAGCCATGAACACAACACTTTGCAGAGTGTGAAAGCCATGGTGCACAGGTCTTGGTGGCTACAATCAAGAGGGACAAGTTTGTAGATAGCATTTCCCCTGCTCTCAAAATAAAGTCATCCTAGAGGTGAGGGTCTGCCTTCCATTACTCTCAGGAATCCATGTGCCCTTTCTTAGAAGTTCCACTAAGAATAGCATTATCCCGGAGGGGCACAGTGGCTCACACCTGTAATCCCAGCACTTTGGGAGTCCAAAGTGGGTGGTTCACCTGAGATCAGAAGTTTGAGTGCAGCCTGGCCAACATGGCGAAACCCCGTCTCTACTAAAAATACAAAAATTAGCTGGGCATGGTGGCACACTCCTGTAGTCCCAGGTATTCAGGATGCTGAGGCAGGAGAATCACTTGAACCTGGGAGGTGGAGGTTACAGAGAGCAGAGACTGTGCCACTGCACTCCAGCCTGGGTGACAGAGCGAGTCTCTGTCTCAGAAAAAAAGAACAGCATTATCGCAGACAACTCTGTCTCTTCCCAAGGGACCTACAAAGGCTTGTCCATTTTGAAACCAGAGAAATCAGTAACAGAGATCTTAGAAGATGGCTGGGGTAGTGCCTCATGCTTGTAATCCCAGCACTCTGAGAGGCCGAGATGGGCAGATCACCTGAGGTGAGGAGTTTGAGACCAGCCTGACCAACATGGTGAAACCCGTCTCTACTAAAAAGAAAAAAAAATTAGCTGGGCGTGGTGGTGGGCACCTGACAAGAGTAAAACTCTACCTAAAAAACAAAAAGCAAAACGAGCTCTCAGAAAGAAGACGAAGCACCTTTTCTGTGTTATGACTAACCTTACAAGCCACTCAGCCACCTAGATTGTGACTTTAGAATTATTTTATCAGAAAAATCTGCTCCACTGGCATGTTGTGCTGAGAAGGAATGTGATGCCCATCTGCCTCCTCAAAGGTGCTGTGGTTTATTATCCTTTAATAAACTGTTCTTCTTGCCTTGTTGGAGCGATGGCCCCTTTTAACTTGGAAAACTTAAAAGACTGCAGATGATTTCTAAGATGTGTTCTCTCCAAAAGGAAGAAAGGGAAGTAGCACTGGCTGAGTGCACCTCGGTTCCAGCTGCTGTGCTAGTCGTGGGCAGACGGTCCTGTGGGGCCCTCCCATAACCTCAAAATGGAAAAGATGCTGCCCAGTTTCACAGCTGAGAAAACCCATGCCCAAACAGGTTAAATGACTGAACCACTGGCCCATGGCTCAAAAGCAGGAAAGCTAAAATTAAATCTAGGCCCAGTGAACTCCAAAACCTTGTCATGGGATGCTTCCTGGGCATTGCCTACTTGGGAGCAGAAAAATGAGAAATAGCAGTCTTCATCTTATGAACTGAACTTTTCTTCAGAGGGATCCAAAAGATGATCCCAACCTCAAATTAATCCTTAACGTTCAGTAAGGAGTTTAACAGGCAAGATGACTCCTCTTTGGGAAGTACAGAGAGCATTCTGCATGGGACTGCTTACAGCATCTAGAGATTTTGCAGCCAGACCCTGGTATCATCAGCTAGCTTTCAGTGTTTTCCCAAGACCGTCTCTAGGTGGTGCCATGACCATGCGGTTCTGTTTACTGAGGCCCGTCTATTTCTGGCTGACTGGGTACTCAAAGTGAAAATATCTGCTTGTCAAAAGTTGTTGGATCATTTCCAGCATTCAAAATCATTACTAAATAGTCGTTCCAACTTCTCAACTCTCTGATGCAAGACTGTGACCTGGGAGAAGTTGCAGGGGAAGAACTAAAATCAAAAACTAAAAAAGAACCATGGAAAAATAAAGAAAACCAACACTCTCTTATGATTATTCTCTGTGCAGGGTCTTTGCTTTTTCTAGGATGACTTTTCAAGTCCTCATAAGTGCTAAAGGTCTTAACACCACCTCCAATTAACATTGTTAAAATAAAAAATAAAAAAAAATTAAAAAACTATTATTCTGTACTCATGAAGCAGAGCACTCCCCAGACAGGGAAAACTAAGACAGAGACACACCAAGACTAAGCTGTACAAGGAATTAACAAGAATGTTTAGACAGATGGAGCTACATTGAGAAAATTTACTCCGATTTTGGCTCACGGAATACCCTGGTCACCTCACGTAAGAACAGGGCCTGAAAATAAAAACGAGATGCTTCATAGCACACACTCCCATTCCAGATACCCCTCACAGGGACCCAGATTCTACAGTAATCCTATTTCCTCCATGTGGTCATCCCACAACCTCCCTCTCTCCTCAGTCCCTCCATACTGTGTATTCTGGGATCCAACTACCCCCGAGGAAAACCACTACTGGGATGGAAACACATGCATCCCCGGGACAGCACATGGAAAGAATTCAGGTTTTGGACTTTCTACATAGCTCAGAAGAAATCCAGGCACTGGCAGGAGGAAGACGATAAAATTGCAGTCACAGGAGCACCTTAGAACCAGGCTCTCCTTCAGGAGAGGAATCAATTAAGAGTATTTTCCAAACGTACATGCCCTGATTATTCCCTGGTAATTTTGATATGACTTGAGGGTAAGAGAGATTGCGCGATTTCGCAAAGCTTCCCAAGTGACCTCGATACGTCTTGCTTACCACATAAAAGTAAAACTTGGAAGGAATTGAGGGCAAGGCAGAAAGTGAGTCCCATCCACCTTCCCTGGACCATCGCTCTGGCAGAGTGGCTCTGCCAGCAAGGTCACTGCCACCCTGGAGCTTTTGGTCATACACACACAAGTACAGGAAACTCACCCGCTCCACCAGTCATGACACTTTTTGCTAAAAATTTAAAAAACTTATTCAACTAAAAGATAAAGTGGAATGCCAAGGTCGAAATATAAAATATGATGATATAAAAATAATTTCAGAATACCTCTGTAAGGCAAGCTGCAAAGCTGAATATTCAGTAAGTATTCTTATTTAAAATGTCATATTAAAACTAACACTAGAAAAACAATAACTTGTTAAGAGTGTTAGTTTTTTAGGTTTTTAGGCATTTTTAGTTTAAGAGACACTACTGGAGAGTTAAAGAAATGATCAGTCTGACCCACTGCTGGTTAAAATGGGCATGACTTTCTGTGTTTGGAAAGCAATTTGACAGTATCAAGAGCCTTGAAAACATCTTATACAAAGTACAGTTCCACAAATTTATCCTAGTAATGTGAGCATGGGTGTGCATACATTCTGGGCTGTAAGATATTAATTATAGACTTATGGTAATTTCAAAACATTGAATCATTTAGTAAAAGGCCTTGGTTAAATACAATGCATTACATCTAAATAATGAAAAACAAATCAATAATGAAACACAGTACATGTTAGGTAATATGAAAACATTTTCAAAGAATATTCCCATGAAAGACAAGGCTTCTCAAATAACACATAAAGCACGATACCATTTGTCAAATTACATATAAATCTTAATGGTGTGTATATATACAGATATATACATTGTGTGTATATATGTATATTTGGGTGTGTCTGTGGATATGTATATGCACAAATACATATATATAAAACATATACACTATATATATACACACACACACACACACACATAGCACATATATTTTTTTTCCAAGGAAAGAGTATTTGAAACTATAAAATAAGGCCTGGTGATTTCTAATCACCGAAGCCAAAATCTCAGTAATGCCATTTATGATGGGGATTAAAATGGAAATCCAATTTTACACCTGCAGAATTTGATATTAGCTTAAGGTCACTCAGAGACTTCATGGGGATAAAATCAAGAACATAATGCAAATAGAAATAAAAACAATGGATTATATTCGGGACAAGCTGTGTTCTGATTTGCAAACTGAAAAAAAAAAATCTAGGCGACAACCTATTAAAATTCATAGCAAGAGAGGCCTTTTAAGCAAACATAAATTGTGTTAATGTCATCATGATTAAATTTCAGGAGACTTTCAATTTGACTTTGATATAAAATTGATGTATGTAAGTAATCCACTCACTAACCCAATAATAAGATCCATCCCACAGCTGCCATCATTCATTTAAGTCAAACACAAATCTTAAGCGTCTTGTGAAGTAGATTTAATGAAGTCGAGATGCATCCCGGCCGAACTACTCTTGGTTACACTTAATCAGAACTGCATAAACAAACTCAGTATTAGTCACACTTGTGCAAGTTATTCCATTTCACTGAAGCCAGAAGAGATTTTCATGTGATCCTGCTTAAACCAGCTAAACATCTGGAAATGTGGAAACTATTCTGTAAAGCGCAAGAGGACCACACGCTCGGAAGAGACATCAGTTATGTGGCTGAGGTCAGGCCCGGGGAGGCTGGAGGGAGAGCGCATACTGGAGATAGCTTACTTACAATGAAGCCAAGTTTCTTATAATCTCGCGTGTACATGGACTTGCGTTTCTCCATGCTGCCACTGCTGTTATTAGGTTCAGACTCGGCATCAAAAGCAATTCTTCGAAGTTCAAATATGATGTCCCTCTGAGCCTGAAGGAAACAGGGAGTAGAAAGAAAAGGGAGGGGAAAAAGCTGCTTTCATTGTGTGACATTACATATACTCTTTCCCTGGGGTCTAAATGAATCACTGCATTCAGGCAAAAGAAAAACAGATAAAAGAGAACCAATGTTCTAAGTTACAGCTTTGCAGACCGGTCTTCCCCTGTCAGTCTCCCTGCTGGTCAGGCCTAGCTGTATTCCACAGTGGTCCTCTTAGCCAAGTAGTCATCTGGAGCACGAATATTGATGGTCCAGTGCAGTCTTAACTGAGAGGCCCAGATATGATGGAAGGGTCGTGATTGGAGAAAGCTAAGCTAGAGAAACTGGGGATACTGTACAGTTGGTAACAAAGTAAGAGGTACCCAAAGTGCCTCACCCCACTAAGTTACTTCATGGAAATAAACACAGGAAAAAAAAGAAAGAAAGGGTCAAAGGTGCAAACAACCCAAGTGTCCATCCAAGGGTAAATGGATGAACAAAATGTGGCGTGGACATCCAATGGGATACTATCCAGCCTTTGAAAGATGGCATTCCCAATAGATGCTACAATATGGATGAGCTTTGAAGATACTAGGCTGAGTGAAATAAACCAGACACAGGAATATGCATATTGTCCGATTCCAATTATATGAGGTCTCTGGAGTAGTCAAATTCATAGACAGAAGGTAGAATGGTGGTTACCAGGGGCTAAGAGGACAGGGGAATGGGGAAATAGTGTTTAATGGGTACGGAGTTTCAGTTCTGCAAGATGAAAAGAGTTCTGGAGATGGATGGTGGTGATAGTTTCATAACAATGTGAATGTACTTAATGCCACTAAACTGTACACTTAAGAATGGTTAAAATAGTAAACTTTATGTTATACATATCCCACCACTATAAAATAAACATATAAATACATTTTTAAAAGGGTTTCCAAGCAAAGAGGGTCACTCAATATTAAGATGCATTGCTCTCTGTCACTAGAAGTGGTAAGATGACAGTCTCCTCTCCCTGGGATAACCACACCTTGCCAAAAACGTGGGGCACATTCACTGCCTCTCAAAGCCTCTCCATCATTCTTAACTGCATGGCCTTGCTCCATGAATGAAGTGCCGCGGTGGCTACACACTTCACATACGCAGTTCACATCTGCAACAGATCAGGTCCTCACGTGCCAATAATGAGTGTTTTCCTTTCCAAAGCTGCAGCACTGTTTAAGCTGAAAATGTGCTACGGCAGGGCTCACAGCTGTTTCCTCTCACTCTACCCTCACACAGCAAAAGTCCCCAAAGGCTTCTGAATGGAGATATAACCTTTCATGCACAACAAGAGACCCAGCAGAGAGCTACAGCCAACAGCCAACCAACAGAAATGCTGGCCCAGAAATCAGGTTTAATCTGGGACCCTACTCTTGGCACTGATCTCTAGAGGATGAAAATTGCTGCCTCAACCCTGTAGAATCAATGCCACATAGAGTCACCAAGAGGCCCTCGTTGTCTGGGAACTTGACTCGAAAGCTACTACCATTAAACGTACTTGGGCCCAGGGGCTAAGGTCTGTGGTCACGTGACATCAAACTTTCTTATTCAATAAAGGCAGAACATGCATGTTTGGAGCCTAATGGAAGAATGCATTTGGGTATATTTTCTGATCCTGGATTCACCTAATTTTGAAGCCATGCCCCTATGTTCTGAGATGATAATAAAACGACATCATCTCAAACTGTGAAACTCCCTAGTTGCAGGGTACCTCAAAAAAAGACTTTTAATGACACTTTCTGTCCGTCCTATGCTTTAACTGCTGTCCAGTGAGCACTCACCTGGTCCTGGGGGTCCATTTTGGTCATCATCCTGTCTTCCAGGAGGTTAAAGGTGAGCACTTGCAGAACATACAGCTGGTGCGCCATCTCATTGTTGATGGCCCGCTGGGCTCGGATGACATGCTAGGGAGATGGTTCACAAATGAAATTTTTTTAAAAGAAAGAAAAGGAAACAAGAAGAATTAACCCTCAAGTAGGCTCTCACAGTCTTCATTGGGAGGTACAAGGAATGGAGAAGGTAGGCGAGGGCACAGGAAATTTCAGAGCTTTCCTTTACATTTCAGAGCCCAGGAAGGTTCCTGATCTTCAGGTCAGAGTCCAGGAAAAAACCTACTGTAGGCAGGCGTGAGTGGAAGGGGAAAAGCGCTGGAAAAGGACTGGTGACGGCAGCCATATAAGTCAAGAGAAGATGTGCTTGAAATGGGGGTGTCTCCAAGACAACTGTGGATTTCTCCAATGGAAGCATCTGTCACATACAGCAGAAAAACCCATGGTGCATACCCATAGGAAGCAATCTTGCCATTATCTTACCCTAGGACTGTCTGACAGGTAAGCCCACTTCAAAACAGGGAAAAGTTTCACAAGGAACACACAAAAGCAAAATACCCATCAAGTCTTAATCCACTGTGGGAGCTACATAAGGATGTCTACCATCAAAAGCAGACAGCAAAAGCTCATGAATTACTTTACTCACTGTTAACAATTAAATGAAAGATAAAATGACTCTTCCCCATAGAAACAGAACTGAAAACAGAACAAAGAACGAGTGGCAGGACAGGACGACTGGATAGGTCCACCCCCAATCCCCTTACCCCCACCCAGAAATGGGACAGCTGCCATCAACTGAACATTCAGCATTTGGGACTAACACATAGCCTTTTCAACACAGATTCTGGCCGTACATTAAAAATGCCAAACAACGGATCAATGTGGTGAAACAATCCATCACATCAGTTATTTCAAATGTTAGCCCCAGTCATGCCTTGCTATCTGGAAGACCAATTCTCTTGGCAATCTGTACTTGCTCCTGGGTAGACTGCTGCAAACCAACTTCTAAGTGGCTATTCAGTAAATGACAAAGTTCCCCATTGTAGAGAAAAATGATCTTCCTCCAGGACTAGAGGAAGTCTAGGTCCTTAGAGTGCTGCCTGGGTGCCTCTCAACCTGGCATCCACCTGCAATCCATACCCTAGCTGTTAGTGCCATGCTGAAATAGCCAATTAAAGAAGGAGGGGTGAGAGAAGATTGAGGAATAGAAGAAAGAGGACAGGGAGAAATCAGAGAATACCAAGTCACCGAACCAAAATTATGGGAAGCAGGGAAGCTAGACAACAGGATGGTTAGGAGCAAATCAAACCCCTTATCCTCCAATCTTCAGAATAGCATGTTAACTCATAGCACACACTTAGTATCCAAAGTGTGTGGGTATCTCTTTTCTTAGCAACTCGAAAGTACTGCCTCCAAGTTCTTACAGGAGAGTACCAACCTCGAACTTCAGCCATCAACATCTCATAAAAGAAGAGATGTTGATTTTTGAGACAGGGTGGCCACAGTCATTAATGCCACTCATTTCTCAGGGCATTCTAACCCTGAGTGCCACATCAAGGTAATATGAAGACACTGAGCTACATACACATTGATGCTGTAGCTTCTACATTTATTGAGAGCCAATATAAAGAAGGACAGCAATTATGAATACTTGTGCACTTCCAAAACCACAATTGGACCTAGATGTATTCAGATGCTCTCCCAAGGTTCATTTCAGATTTCAGTTCCAGAGGGAAAAGTTTTACCTTTCCCGAAGAACTGGGGGACCTCTTTTTATCAAACAATGAAAATTACACTCATATATTTCGTGTCATCCTTCACAGCCAGGAAGTTTAAAATCGAACTAACTTGGTCACAAATTGCAGTCATTACCACTGGCTTTGGGATCTAGAACATTTATTTTCAACATTAATTTTTGATGGCTTACTTGCATTGGTCGGGGAGGGAGGGGGGATAGTGTGTGTGTGCGTGTATAAGCCACTTGTTTTTGGTGTTTTGACATCTGGGACCTTGCTGACCCTGGAGAGACTGCCCCTCCCAGATCTAGCCAATTCCTAGAGCTAATAAATGACTCCTTTCATATGCAAATGAACCAGTCCAGAGCCTTGGCAACCACACCCTACTCCTCTACAAGCTCTGGCTCCTACTCTTAGGACCACTATTCCCCTGCCCTAACCACCCAGGGCCAGGTACCAGACAACCAGAGACAGCCCATAAACTCCACAGCCCACTGAAATTATTCAAACTAGCCAATCCCAAACCTGCTCAGCCAGCTTACCTGGCCTCACTTGTCCCTTCCCTCAAAAACCACAGTAAGGGCTCTTACCCAGATCTCCTTGGGCTTTCCCTGCCTCCCGACTCAGAAGCTTCCCCTGCCCCCACAATCCCCCAGTGGCACGGCATGCCCCCTCCTTTGGGGAACTATAATTAACAAACTTATCTTTTCAATGCCAGCCACCTCCTGATCTGTTGGCCTCACCATACCCGAATACTGCTAAAACCTGCATTTGAGGACCAAGTGTTTTTAACTGTAAGCTTGCTGAACTGCTCTTTGGAATCACACAAAAAGAAATTCTTCTTTTTCTTTCTTTTCTTTTCCTTTTTTTTTTTTTTTTTTCTTTTTTGTAAGCAGGGCAATCAATCAACCTGCTTCTTTCAAGTAGCTGGTAAGTCAAATAGCGGGTAAGACCTCAGGAAATCTTGTTACTTGGTTTATTTCTAAACATTTACAAGGTGACACCTTAGGGCTTTTTTTTCCACCAATGTTTAAGGTCATTTTGCATTGCAGCGAATAAGTGGCTCCCATCTTCATCTTTCCTTCCTCTCTCTTGCCAGGGGGCCCCAAAACTGATGTTCAACATCTCAGGACTTCTCTTGGTACCTGATATGTTTACAGCTAGCTTTCTCATTAAAAGAGCAAAACCTCATCAGGGTGAATCTTTTAAGCCTGATTTCCCTAACCTGCCCCACTGAGAGAGCTATCCAATCCCTCCTGCCAGAATGCCTTCCCCCTTCCTCTCTCTCCAGGGCAGTTCCAGAAACCCCTCCCTCCGATCCAATGAGGCAATTCCTGTGGGAAAGACTTTATTTATTCCAACTCCAAAAGCTCACTTTTTCCTTCTTTAAAGTTCCTACTGCTTCACCACAGAAGCAAGTCACACAACAAACCACAGATTGAAGCCAAAAGAAGAGATTAATACATGCACCAGGCCACTCCTCCCCCACAAAGAGGTCACAGCACATAGGTACTCACTGTTAAAATGATGGAACGCAATTGCTTCTGAGCCAAAATATTCGCCATCTCCTGTGAAAGAAAAACACGCCCACACAAAGGCTTAGGTTAGAAAGCTACATTTCGACATGGCCAAAAATGACTTTATCCTGGGGTGTGCTTCGTAACTGTATATCAGCAGTATTTCGTATGAAATAATGAACTCAAACAGGCAGCAGTATTCAAATTATTTTTTTGACTGTTCCATTTAGAATGTAAAAGCCATGTCCAAAAGCAAAGGAAATGTATCTGGCACCTGCAAAATTCTTTTCTTTAGGAACTTCTTCCTTCCAGAAAAAGGTGGGTGCTAAATAAAAATCAGGCACTCCAAACAAAGCAATCGTTCTCTATTAGAAAGCCTCATCATCTTTTATTAGACTACGTATGTGCAGAAAGCTTTCATTAGGCAACACATGCCTGTAGCAAGGAGATTCCAGTCTCTTCTAAAAGTCATTTCATCTTAATCTGTGCAAAACCCAAGAGTGAGTAATACATATACCAGGCTACATAAGTGATCTGAGTGGAGTTTAAGTGAAGGGCAAATATTTGGGTGATGCAAAGCTCTAGAGTCTACACTCACTGAGCTCTGCAAGGCCTGATTTCTACAGGTTGTGTTTCATGCCTTAGCATCTCCTGAGTGGCATGGAGGATTCAAGGGTGATTTTATTAAAGGGAATGATGCACAGACTCCTTTTATAAATATTGACAAGTAAAGACTAAGGGAAAATAACATTAAGCACAGTCTTGGAGCACACATTTTAAAGTAAAAATACTGCTCATATTCAGGAAGACACTTGATTGTTGTTTTGTGGTAGGGGGTGTTTTTGGTGTTGCTACTCTTACTGAGTAGAGAAGAAACTAAGCTATGGTTTAAAAACAGAACCATGATTTCGACCAAGGTGAAAACAAATTTGCAGAAAGCAAAGAGAACCAAGAACATGGGGGTGGGGGAGATTTCTGAGGGGGGCATACAAGCAGGGGTAGACAGGAGCAGCATGGGAGAGCAGGGCCCACTTTACGCTGACAAAGGGAACGTGGGTGACTTACAGTCAGAGGACAATCAAGGATGTCAACATTGCTCTCTACATCAACCTAACGGCGTCATCGCCACCACAGAAAGGAAAGCAAGCAGGAGAGAAGAAGGGATGGAAATTCAGAGGACTCTGTTAGAGGTTGACCACTTTATTTGAATGCCCCTGCTGACCCACTGCATTGAAAAGTGCTTAAATACTGTAAGGTGACAAAAAAGCTAGATGGCCCTCAAGTCAAAATCCAATACTAGGTCTTCTTCCACGCTCTTGAAAACAAGAAAGCAGGAGCAATGACGCATTGAGAAACAAGTCAAATGGTAACCCAGAAGGAACCTTCCCTTCCACTAGGCATAGAAAGCAGTGCTTTCTTCCCAGTCTTCATAGAAAGGCCCACTGGTGGTGGTTTTTTTGTTTCTTCTAGGCCAGATGTCAAGTAAAAACCTCAAAGGATCCTATAGCTGTTTTAATTTCTTTCCTTTAAAACATGAAATTATTGCTCATAAATAAAAACAGAAACAAAAATTTCTGTTCCTATGTTTGCCTATCAGTTTATAAAATTTAAAGTTAGAAGGGACAATGCATGTCCAATTTCTACTAAAGAAATCATTGTAATTATCTGTTTACAATGTTTATTGTCTACATAAGCTGTGGGTCCCTCATGAGCAGAAACTTTTTCTTTTTTGTATTCCAAGCCCAAAGAACAATGTCTAACACCTAGAAGACAATAAATGCTTGATAAAATAACAAATAAATATTTTACACTATCCTCCTAAGGAACAGCAGCTTGGTCAAAGAGAAAATAGAAATATTCATACCTCCATTTCTTAGTCTAATAGTAAGGAATTGTTGGAGTAAATGTGAGAATCCATGGGGAATATTTTATAGCATTAAAATTATGTAAAAGTATATAGATAGATACAAATATGAATCCAGATATACTGACATGGAAAGATGTCCACAAAATATTGTTTAGTTTCAAAGGCAGTTTAGAAAAACTACACTGCATGTAGTATGCTCACATTTGGTGGGAAAAAAAATGATGTATTAGGAGAATTTTTGCACAGAACAAAACAGGGAAGTAACACCATGAAAGTCACAAGAGTTGTAAATAATTGCAGTGGTTTTGCCTCTGGGAATATAATTACAGGAATCTTTCAAACTTCTTCCTTTTGAGTTAGTATTTTCTGATTTTTCTACCAAATCTTTTAACTAACAAGTTTTTTAAATAGTGCTTATCCAAAGTATATAAATATTTGTAGAGAAATTTGGAAGGGATCTCAGCAACGTATTTGCCATTGAAATAGTGAACTGAATAATGGTGCAAGTTGTAAACAAAAGGATGCATTTGGCCACCTAACAGCAACCCCCTCCCCGACAAAACTAGCACAGCCCTTCCCTCCATTTGTGCCAGGAAACAGAGAATCTCCTACATCCCGGAGGCATGGGAAAGGAAGGCCTCCACCCCTGGGGGAACCCTAGACCCTCTGGAACCCTTCTCCAGAGGAAGCAGCTTTGCCCTAGGTCCCAGCACAGGCGTCTCTCAGTAAGGCCTACTTCACGGATGCAAAGGAAAAAATAGCACAGGTCCTTCTGACCATGGGGGCATTTTTTTCAGTAACAGCAGAAATAGGGTATAAGTGTTTAAAAGCATTCCAAATTCCAAGAAAAGCCAGATAATGGAGTCCTATGAATGTGTCTGGCCCAAGTCAAAAAAAGAAGATGAAATTTTAAAAAAGTATTTGAGTGAAGTAGAATCAGGCACCCCAAAAAAAGCAATGGTTCTAAGGCTTTAAACAGGTAAAACAAAACAAAACCAACAAAAACAAAAAATAGTGCTCCTGCAAATCCAGTAAATACATGTTTAGATTACATTTCTATCTAATTGGAGTGAGAAAATGGGCTTGGTGTTATCCAGGCTTCGGGGAGCTGTTTACTTGGCAAACACAGGGGAATTCTGTGAGTGACATCTCTTTGACAGGTGTTGGATGGGATGCTTTGCAGGTAAAAGCAGGGATAAGGTTGGGACTCAAACTCTGATTCTTACCCGCTCAGTAACCTGGTCAAGTTCTTTACTCCCTTTGAGTCTCAATTTCCTTACTTATAAAACAGAAATAATGTGGCTTTCTCTGAATATGAGAATAAAATGAAATAATGTAATATAAAATACTGAGCACTGCCTGGCACATGCCAGACTCTCAATAATATTATCATTGATGGCTGACTTTGGTCAATTTTTCTATTTGCCAAAAATTCAGAACTTTTAATTTTTCAGAACATATGCCAGCAATGCCAACGTCAAATTCAGACCAGCTGAAACTTAGAACATAGAGCCCAGACTAAGGTGTACACGGCTCAGCTGTTAATATAAATCCACAGCAACCTACGTGATATTACCAGTTAGCTCAGTCTTCTGCTTCACAGGCCTCTACTGACCTTCAGAAAATAATATCCAACAAATTTTTCTTCATTATGAACCTGAAATCCCTTTTTAGAGCTATCTTGCTACTTACTGATTTTTTTTTAAAATTTAAAAATCATGATACTCCCTTTACTTTGATTAATAACACTCTTAATTTCAAGAGTTTATAGTCTATGAAGTCCACATCACCTTTCCATGGGCAAGTCAATTAAATACGTTGTAGCTATTTTTAGAGCTTGATTGAGTCATATAATACTTCATAAATTTCTGCTGAATTATATACAGTCTTTCTTAGTTGGAATCTTTTCTTAAATGGTTTAAGGTTATTAGACTACACTTTGAGGTGGTTTATTACTCTTTGCGGTAGTTTATTAGAATAATATATAGCTAAACTGTTTCCTGTCAGTCTTATGTTGCATAGTTTTCAAAGAAAGACTTGGTTCACAAAATCCAAACCTAATCTTATGTCGACATTCCATTATATTACCATTATCAGCAATGTCCTGAAATTCCCTATTTGTCCATGGTCATGAGAGTCCAATTTAACAAGTGAACAGTAGTGCTTGGTATAAAATAAGATGCCGTATGCATTTTATTCATGTCTAGATTCAGAGATCCAAGTGAAGCGGCCTTTTGAGTGGGCATGAACTTTCATCTCCTCTAATTCATCTTCTTCTTTCACAGATGGAGAAAGGAAAGGAAACTTCCAAGAGTTGAGATCAGAATGCAGCCTTCCTGACCCCACACGCTACACTCAGCTACCATGTGGCTGGGCCAGAAGTCCCTGGTCTGGCCAGCAGAAGGACCCAGTTCCTCCAATGCCCACGTCAAGTTTGTGGATATACACAGTGAGAGCTTCCAGACAACTTCCGGGCTGCTTGGGAGTTATGAGTTCAGTATTTAGACTAAAATATCACAGAGGCAGCCCTATCCATGACTTCACCTCAGATCTGCAAAGCCCCTCCTAAAAATCCAGCCAGGGTAAGAGCGCCCCCACCACAGGCTTGTGGAGGGCAGGCACCTCCACCTAGTTCCAGCGAACACCAAATCAAACGTCCGGGAAACTATTAATCGACACCACTCCTTGTGCAGACACAGCCCCCCGGGAATGAGTAAGAAATTCTAAATGGAAAACAAACCAGAAGCCGTCATGTTTAGTCACTGAGGTTAAAAATCCTTGGCAATGAAAAAGTAAAATAAAATCCAAAAATTCTTGTCATGGCATTCAGTAGCAGGTTTGCTTTCTAATTTCTTCTAAATGAACTCACTGGCAACTGCCATCAAGACCCTCAGCATAGTTTCTAAGTGGGTGAAAAGAGCTCATATTTCCACCTATTTTTTTTAAGGAAGGAAACTGTGACCAGGGTAACATATTACAGGACACATTGATTGAAAAAACATGAATGGATTTTGAGGTGTGAGCTACATTCTAAGACAAGGCAAAATTCCACTTTTTCACGTCCCCTCTGTAATGCTCCTTTCCTTCGTGAAGAAATAAAGGATCTACAGACAAAGGACACCATCAAAGGAGAGGTTCCATCTATGTACATTAAGGGGTTCCTTCCTCTTTTTTTTTTTTTAAAAAAGATAGTCTCGCTCTGTCGCCCAAGCTGGAGTGCAGTAGTGTGATGTCAGCTCACTGCAACCTCTGCCTCCCGGGTTCAAGTGATTCTCCTGCCTCAGCCTACCGAGTAGCTGGGATTACCAGTGTGTACTATCATGGCTGTAAAACAGGCTGGCTAACTTTTGTATATTTAGTAGAGATGGGGTTTTACCATATTGACAAAGCTAGTCTCAGCTTCCTGACCTCAAATATCTGCCTACCTTGGCTTTCCAAAGGGCCGGGACTACAGGTGTGAGCCACTGCACCTGGTTTTTTTTTTATACAGAGGAAAGAGATGGCTCCATTTTCCCTGCCACATCCACACACAGAAATAAGTAATCTCACCAAGCAAGGAGCCCCTCTGACATGTGAATGCAGTTATCTCCACCAGGAGCAGCCATCTGCATATTATCCCTCCTGTCCTCTCACCTTCCATCGCCTCCCTCCCTGGGAAAAACGTGGCGCCTCTCAGGGTCTCCCTTTCCTGATCCAGAAAATGAGGACTGCACTTCCCTCACCCTAGTGAGCATCCCATGAAACGACAGAAGGTCGCGGGGACTCCTAACTCCGCTTCCACCCAGCAGCAACGTTTTCACCTTTGTACATCTGGTCTTTCAGGTTGCATTCTATTTCATGAAAAGGCTCTATTGCTGGAACACTCCTAGCATCCCTCATCAGTCAAGGGTTTACCGTCTCTACCCACTTGCCCCTGGATTTGGGAAGGACCCCAGCGGGCCAGCTGTGCAGCAGAACATAGCTGCTGTGGAGAGTCCATATGCGGCCAGGACAGCAGAGTGGCCCAACGAGTCCCCGGATGGAAGGAGAGGGCGTTCTCCGCACACAAAGTTCCTAGCCCTGACATAGCCGTTAGACTAAACAAATGCAACTTACCTGCCTCCTGTCATCAGGAGCCTTCAGGAAAAGTGCATTAATCACTGCAATAGTATAGGTTTGGATTTCTTGATCTGACCTGTAAAGATACAGAACAATTCAGAAAATCAGAACACAAAGTTAGAAGAGACTAGCCCTGGGTCAAACCCTGAAAAGCCTCAAAATCAGCCTCCTCTCCCAAAAACAAGTGAGAGACAAAGGTAGGGCCTAGCAAATGCATTTAGCACTGAGAATGCATTTCAAACATCACAAGGCGGTAAATATACAACTAGTATTACCAGCTCACAGTACACTGGTCAGTGCAGAATGCCCAGAAATACAGGTAGCCTTCTCTCTTATTCAGATTGAAAGCATAAACCTAGGGGATGTTGTAATTGATGTACTACTAGTAATAGTTGTTTGTATGTATGTATGTATGTATGTATGTATATGTGTGTGTACATATGTGTAATTTTCTGTCTGATACAAGAAATATATCAGGGAGTAGTTTCAGATGTCTCTACATTCTTGGGCTAATTGGGTGGCTCTATTACATATTCTAAAATTCTATTTCCAAATATAAACACTTAAATAACAAAAAGAACGGGTGTTTGTTTATAAATCTCATTTTCACTGGAAAGCAACCAGAAATAATAAATGAAACAAAGCTCTAATGTAAGGCATGTGGTAAACAGTAAATAAGGAGGACTCAAGGCATAAACAAAGAGTGACTTATGAGCTACATTTAGGAATAACTTATCAGGCCAGCGAGACAGAAGTGGAGCTTAGAACCAGGCCAGGATAGGGTGCAAAGCCCAGTTCATCACAGGCTGGCTGAGACCTTGGACAAGTTCATGGGTATCCCCCAAGGCACAGTTACCTCATCTACAACGTGGGGTTAGACACACTTACTTCATAGGATTGCTGTGAAGATAAAATGAGATTATGCATATAAAATCCTTAGCACAGTACTTGGAGAATAATAAACTCTTCACTTTGGTAATGTGCTTTGGGATGAAGATGTGTGCCTTTGAGATTCCCAGAAAAGACACAGTATATAAATTAACGCAGTTCACACTCAAAGGAAATGTGAAACTGGTCTTATTTCTAGAGAAGCTACCTACATTCTCATCATTTTGAAGAATTATGATTCTGAGGTCACAATCACTGAGGCCACCACAATCCTCAGCTTCTGTGACTTAAATTTTAAATGCTGATCATCTTCCCACCTCCAAATGAAAAAAATATCTAATATAATCTACTTTGGTAGTTTATATTATAAACACAACAGTTAACGTTTCAGAGAACCATTCCCACCCTGCACCACCAACCCAAATGGGCCAATCGGGTTTCCTCTTGAGAACTGCGACCTACTGGACCAGGGACAAGAGTTAGTGGGAGTTGGGTCATTGTAGTGCCAATCACAATTCTAGAGAAAAGGCCATCTGCTGAGGACTCCAGGGAAGCTATGGTTTCTCTCCTCCTCAAGGCTTAGCTACTTACGTCATTTCTGGATTCTACAAGGTACCCCAGTATTGTTCCAATAACCTCCTTTCCTGTGTGAGCGAGCTCACAATGTTTATTATCACTGCAACCCAAAATACTTTAATTTCTAAAGTAGCACTGTACAATAGAGTCCTCCTCAGATTGGTATCATCAGAGACAACCTTCCTAGTTACCTAAGGGAGGAAAGAAGGGGAAAAATGCCTCAAAGACTGCAGGCTGCAGAGGCAGCTATCTTACTTCCATTTTATAGCTCAAGCCACTAGAAACAAAAAAAAAAAAACCTTTATTTTATTATAAAATACAAAAGAAGCAACTCACTAGAATCACCTCGAGCATAACTAAGAAAGAAGCCTGCCTTTAAAAATTCCTAGCAAAAAGGCATAACATTACATTTCTAATTAACTATGAAAATACTCATTATATCACAGAAAACATTAACTTAGATGGTTTAGGAAAGAGAACTTAAGAGAACAAATCATCCTGTTTTACCTTCTTAAAAGTAAAACTCTGCCAATATCTACCAATATGCATTAAAATTGAGAGCTTACCAAGGGCCAGGTGTGGGGACAGGCAGTGCCAAGAACCAGTCTGGAGTTCAGTGAGGGACAGGGGCCAAGGGAAAGTAACCATGCCATTCCAGTGTGACACATGGTTTGGTTATATGCCAAATTGAGATTTTTTTCTATACATTTAACCAAACGATAAAAACACAAAATGTTTCCCAGTGCATCACCGTGGCCATCTTCCTGAAGCATTTCTCCTCCCCAGAGCATCTCAGCATGCTTACCCTTGCAGGTGTGGAATGAGCTGGCCGATGGTGATCTCCTGTGCCACTTTCTGGTAGAGGTCATGGCTATTGAGCACCATCGACTCCAAAATGGCCAAGGACCGCTGCAGGATCGAGATGTCTATGGCTGACTTGTTCACAAAACTTGCTATCTGAAAATCCAAGTGGGACACAATTGACTGCTCGTGGTAAGTAGAGCAGAGACGTGGAGAAGGGAACAAATGAAGCAAATCGGGAACTCATTTAAGAAACACCAGGCACTGAGGATGACCTGGAATTACAGCAAATAGCAAGAAACCCATCAATCCAGGGATGATTCATGATATCATCACAAAGCATGATTTATCACATCTCTATAATTCACTGATAAGCAAATTTTTTCAAAAAGACATACTTCCAAAGATTATTCTTTCTGTATTTCCCAGGACTATTCTCCTGAGTTTCATCTTTTGGGGGCAGACAATTTCAACACATATATTGTAAGGATGCCTGTGTTTCTCTGGGACGGTAATTTCAACATATGATAATTGCCATTCCTCTTGCATTCCCAGGCTCCTCCCTCATCCACACAATCCATGGCTTTTATATGCTTATTATGTTCTTGTTGCATTCTTAGGGGACTCGCACAAATCTCACTTGTCAACACAATTCAACTGGCAACTTCTCAGTCACTGGCCACTCTCTTAAATGAAAAACTCGTTACCCCTTTCTTCCAATTTCTGATGGTTAAAATAAGTTCTTTTCATCTCTCCTAAATTTAGCAAACAGGAAATCATTTAAATGAGCAGTACTAAAAGTTAAAATACTAGTTTAAGCTCCAAATTAGATTCTCTAAGGAATTAATCACTAAATCCCCAAACATAATAAATCACATTGTAAGAGGAAAATAAAAAACAGAGGTTAGAATAATGGATCACAGTAATCCAAACACATGGGTACCATAAAGGTCTTATTTTAGAGGCCTCATTAAAAGTTATTACTGTCTGTTGACAACTCACAATAAAAAGCCATTATTATATCAGTATAATGACTGCTTTCTTAAAAGCTAAATAACTTGGTTCCACAAGAAGTAAACACTTGCTGTTTCCCCGTCAACACTAATTTCTCCCTTTCTGCTGCCCCAGAGACCACTCGCCTCATCTCCTCTCCATCCTTGCACATGATAAATGCACAGTGCACCATAGCAATTCCCAGGTACCATCGGAATTGTCCCTAGTCCGCTGATGTCCAGGTGAAAGGAGGGGTGGGATATGCAGATCGCAACACTCTGCCTACCCCAGCTACATCTGGATCTCAGAGGTGGGAAATGAATAATGTGAAGAAGTGCGGTGACATTATGATTTTACATTCTGAAAAGCTATTATTTTAAAATACAAACTTCAGGAAGAGTATGGAAATTTTAAGGTTCTCAAAAGACTGCTTCAGCTCTTTTCATGGCTAATAAACTTCTCCAACATGTTTACTATCCTTGGCAAGCCCTTGACTTACTCCTCACAGTCTGCTCCAATCCACCAAATCTACCATACTAAGGCCACCCTTCTTTCCCTAGGGCCATCTTTCTCTGACAAAAATCCAATTACTATTACACTGTGTTTAGGGTTTAATGCTTAATTTAGACATCTTCTAAACAGAGAATAAATTCTCTGACTCCTCCCTTACCCCACCAAACCATTTTTCATGCTCTCGGCATAATTCTTGGCACTGGTATTAGGAAACTGAAGAACTCATAAAGAAATTCATTGACAATACTTCAGATTTTCTTGCAACTAATTTTCTCCTCATTCCCGGCTCCCCTGCTTGTCTCTATTTATTAAATTTGGATGTGCCTTAAGGCTGCATGGAGGCTTCTGCCTGAGAAGCTGTTGCTGATATTGTCAAGCACCCTCCACCTCCATCTTCATGCACTCTTTTCATTCAGCCAATATTTACTCATCAATAATTGATCCATTTCAGTAACATGCATTGCTTGTGTGCTATACAATAGGCTTGCCCTGTCCCACAGAGCTGGAAATACAAAGATGAAAAGAACAAACAAATTTCAAGGACCTTACAGTCTTCTATGGACAGATAAAAAGGCATTTACCATGAAGTACACTGAGGGCCTATTCTTGGCATCCAAAAGGATGCCACCATTTGGATATTTCAAAAAAGCAAAAAATTAAATGGAGGGAATATCAATCTCATTGTCTTCGTACTCCTCTCTTCCCAATTATCACTCTTTTCTAAGAATCCATAATCATTAGTGATTCGTATTTCCAGCTCCCTATTTTACATCTCTGGGATACATCTGACATGTCTCCGTTTTGATACATAGTATATACATAACACTGGCCCAGTGGTCTAACTCATTGCTGGGTTACTAAAACACAGTCTTCTGCATGTTCTTTTATGTTCAAGTTTTCCATCAAATGGAAATTTACCCCCTGAATTATTCCCCTACTTCCATAAATATCCTTTTTACAGTATTTCCTTTCTTGAAATATTCAATCAGAACTCTCTGTGTTTTCTTCTTTTTATTTATTTACTCATTTTTTTTTTTTTTTTTGAGATAGAATCTTGCTCTGTTGCCTAGGCTGGAGTGCAGTGGTGTGATCTCAGTTCACTGCAACCTCCACCTCTCCAGTTCAAGCAATTCTCCCACCTCAGCCTCTTGAGTAGCTGGGATTACAGGTGTGCACCACCACACCAAGTTAATTTTTGTATTTTTAGTAGAGACGGCGTTTCACCAGATTGGCCAGGCTGATCTCGAACTCCTGACCTCAAGTGATCCACCTGCCTCGGCCTCCCAAAGTGCTGGGATTACAGGTGTGAGCCATGGCACCCAGCCTACTCTCAAGTGTTTTCTGATAGGAAGTACACCTTCTCATAATGGGTTTTAAAGTTCTCTATGAATCATTAACTCTTCCCTGCTCCCAGTGGGCTTGCTCAATGGTGGCAAAAATAATCTGCTGTCTTTGCTTTAATTTAGGCATATTTATATCCCACATACATATTCCATTTCCATTAGTTATTTCTACATATTTTTCTCCTAAGAAATGAATCCCTTACTTTCATGAAAGTATTCTTTAAAATTCATTTTTCTAGTAATTCATTTCTTCCTTGACATAAAGAACCTAACCATTTCAGCAATCCTAAAGCATGTTACGTAATGAGCATTTTGTGTAACACACCTGGAGCACTCAATGCATTAGAGTCCTATGTACAAGTCTGAAGTACATGCTAATAGTTTTCTGAAACTTAACTTCTTTCTTTTGTCTTATTTGTCACTGGTTTTAGCTAGGTATTCAAATGACCTAATATTTTAACTGAATGAGTATTAATAACCAAGGCATCAGAGCTGATCCAAGTGAAAGTAATAACTATCGTCCTCCAGGGAACTTGAGACCAACTCCTTATAACTGAATGTATAAATCAGTTAATGGACAAATGTCTGTATGTCCAGTTTGAAAACTACAGATCTTCGTATAGCTAGAGGTTATTCATGTCTATTTAAATTTTCATTTCCTTTATCCCACAGAAGAGTAATAATGATTCCTTCTGCCTTTCAATTTATCCCAACTCCATCACTGCACTTCTGGGTGACACAAGTGAGCCAACCCAAGCCAGCCACAGTCCAGCTTCTCAAAAGTAGGCCCGTATCATAAGGAAGTAGTAAGTAAGAGGAGTCAGCAGTAATTTTATATACACTAGCTCCTTGTACTGCTCATTCATTTGAAAACCTTAGCTAAATAAAAGAGAAATATTTATGTAACTTTTAAGAAGCTAAGGGGTATTACAGTGCATGAATCAACAATCCAATAAATACTTCTTAGAATCACTTAGAATGAGATCTTAAAATTCTCCTGTTATCAAAAACTAAAAGAACCATAGAAGGCCGACACAGTGGCTCACGCCTGTAATCCCAGCACTTTGGGAGGCTGAGGCGGGTAGATCACGAGGTCAGAGGATCGAGACCATCCTGGCTAACATGGTGAAACCCCGTTTCTACTAAAAATACAAAAAAATAGCCAAGCGTTGTGGCGGGCGCCTGTAGTCCCAGCTACTCGGGAGGCTGAGGCAGGAGAATGGCGTGAACCCAGGAGGTAGAGGTTGCAGTGAGCCGAGATCGCGTCACTGCACTCCAGCCTGGGTGACAGAGCGAGACTCTGTCTCAAAAGCAAAACAAAAAAAAACAACCATGGGGAACATGAAGCTCCACTCCTGTATTTAAAATTATCTAAGTAGAGGCCTGTAAATCTCTCAAATTTTTAAGAGGCAAAAATTACCAGGTCTTTAAACCAATATGGTGGGATGTTTGTCCAGGTGCTGAAAACATTTGTGGGGTGAGCCAGGTTCTCCTGCACAGCTAAGGTTTTCTGCAGCATTTATGTGAAACCTTCCTTCCAAAAGAAGGCACTGATATTATAATTGGCTAGGGAAAAACCAACTCATAACATATAAAGTTTTTTTTTCTTTTCTTTCTACTCCGTGTTTTCTTACTTTGTCCCTAAGTAGCCGAGTCTTTAAAAAGCAACAACATTATATATTGGTATCAAGGAATTCCAAGTTTCAGAGTTGTTTATGAAATGATGCTATTTATTGCAGCCAAAATTTGTAAACCAGAATCTAGATTCACATATAACAAAACAGATAAAGTAATAGAGAAGGAGACAGAAGCTGGCAGGGAAAAAAAATATTTCTCCAAAGTGGTATGAATTTGGCATTAATAGGAAGCCAACTCTAGACCACAGAGATAGGCATCTTTTGTCAGCCCATTTCCTAGTCGATTTTTGTTGAGATAAAGCTCCATTTAAAAGACAGTTGCCTACATACAATTCGTGGGTTGTCAAAGTGCTGAATTTGGTCCAGCTAATGAATAAAAAAGTTAACCTTACAGAAAAGTAAGTAATTTTTTGATGACTATTTTTCAGATTCATGTAACACATCTCTAAGTAGCAATGCAAAGAAAATATGACTGGGAATGAGGACACGAAATAGATTAAATGTGTTGCTTTTTAAAAATACTTACTTTTTTATTGAAACCACCGAGACTGTCAGTCTTTACTTTCTTACATTTAATATGATTTTTGAATTAATTTCAATGAATGAAAAATATTTTCTTAAGTTGTGAGAAAACTAAATGACTGTCATTCTCTCTGGCCACTGCTCACAAGAAACACAGTTTTCTAATTCCTTTCCACTCATAACCGAAATTTTACTTAAAATATATTTAAATATGGTACCACTTTTTTCCCTTCTCTTCTTCAAATTCTGTGGGTATTTTTAATGCTTCCAAGCAAATTTTATTCATTCATTTCACAGAAATGTATTAAGATCTTACTCTGTGCCAGGCCCCGAGGATAAAGTCATGAAGAAAGCCGTGTTTCTGCCTTCCCGAGGTAATACTCTATTGGGAAAGACTGTCAAACGAACAAAAAATGCACCGAAATGTGACAAGTGCTGGAACAGGGGCATTCAGGAGATCCCAGGGGAATAGACAGCAGAAGAAATCACTTAACTCTAGCAGTAAGGTCATGGAGGAATATGTAAGAGACAGGCTGGTTAAGCGAGGCTCCGGGAACTATGCCTTCTACCACTTGGAAAGCACAGGTGCATGATGATGAGGAGAAGCGCTCTGACCATGTGACCAAGGACGCCCACTCACTATGTGACCTCATTCAACCTCGGCAAGCCACTGCATCCCTGCCTCCTAACCAGAAATAACAAGACTATCTGTTCTGTTCTGGAAAGGATTGCTGTGTGGAATCAAAAGAGCTAATGTTGGTGAAAGCACAACATAATTTCAAGGAATTCACATTCAGTACAACATTGTTGTTACATTCTATAGCAAAAGAGGCTCTCATAACAGACAAGCCAGGCACTCTGGAGGTAGAAAAGAAAGCCTGCTGTAAATTCAAAATGTTAAAATGTTTGTTAATTATTAAAAAATCAATGATACTTCCACATCTTCAGATTTGGAACTGCTTCTCTAGAACTGATCTTAGAGAGGCAAAATAGTGCAATTTATTTTCTCCTCTCATAATCTAATGCTTACGTTCCCTGCCACCACCAAAGGTGGCAGGAAGGTACTTCATAACACATCGGGATTTTTTTGGCTTCTTTAGCTATTAGGTTAGTGCAAAGGTAATTGCGGCTTTTGCATTACTCTTAATGGCAATTCTAACAGTTCCTTTCCTTTATAGCAATTCATACCACTGACAAATACAGGCAAAAAGGGGCCTCTTCCTTTTCTGTGCATTTTCTACAGGGTTCCTTTTGCTCATCCCCTTTGGCTTTATGGATTTACATAACGAAAGAGAGTTGATTTCGAGATGTGTCAACAAGGCCCTGGGTTTCCATCAGCTCTGGTCTTAAATGAACATAAAACATAGTGTAGGCATGACATCTGTGGGCCCTCTGATCCTACCCCCCTCATTCAACAGATTAGGGCCATCCCATGCCCTTTGATTCAAGGCAGCATCTCCCCTAAGATAATGATTAATTTCCAAAAAAAAAAGCAGCACATTTACAGTGGGGAGATCCAACAGATGTCACCTAACCATGTAATCCAGGGTAACATCACCAGTCAGAGGACAGTGACATCATGTGCCCATGAAAGGACGCACTGAGAAGGATGCACCATAACTTCTGTAGCATTCTTGCCAAAAATGCATAACCCTCTTTAATTGAACCATGAGGGAAATATCAGACAAACCCAAATTGAGGAACTTTCTACAAAATAACTGACTGGTACCTTTCAAAAATGTCAAAGCCACAAATGACAAACAAAAAAGCTGAGGGACCGTCACAGACTCGGGGAAACTAAAGAGGCATGACAACCCAATTCAATGTGGGATCTTGGATCAGATCCTTAACCAGAGAAAGGCATTCATAGAAAAACAGGTGAAATCAAATGCCAGCATTGCACACAGCTTATTTATTAATTTTGACAACCGTACTGTCATTATGCAAAATGTTAACTTTAGGGGAGGCTGGATGAAGGGCTTATAGGAACATTCTGTACTAATTTTTTTTTTCTTTTTGAGACAGGGTCTCACTCTGTCACCCAGACTGGAGTGCAGTGGTACAATGTTGGCTCACTGCAACCTCTGCCTCCCAGGCTCAAGTGATTCTCCTACCTCAGCCTCCCAAGTAGCTGGGATTACAGTGCCACCATGCCTGGCTAATTTTTGTAGTTTTCATAGAAACGAGGTTTCACCGTGTTGGCCAGGCTGGTCTTGAACTCCTGACCTCAAATGATCCACCTGTGTTGGCCTCCCAAAGTCCAATTTATTGCAACTTTTCTTTAAGTCTACCATTAGTTTAAAATAAAAGGCTTAAAAGCTTCAAGTGACTCTTACCGGATTTTGCTCTGATTTTCTGGCTTGCACAGATTCACTGAAATTCTCTTTCTAGTAACTGATACTTATGAAATAAAGTTATGAATTCCAAACATCTCTTTATTACTAATACAACAGTAGGGAGGAGATATGCCAATGAATTTATAAACCATTTTGCAAATACAAAGAAAGGAAAAAATAAATCAATAAATGATAATTGTCCATGATTTAATCTACATTTGAGAGTAACAAGATCAAGACTGTTTATTTTTAGTCAGAAGAATGGAAACAGAGTTGCAAATGTGCTATACTTCAATTGCAAGGAATGGTGGGGCTCTTCTGCACCCTCTCCCTGCACCAGGTCCATCTTCATTTGCTTCCTCCAAAAGGAAGAATTGGTAGAACTGGGTGATGTCTGAGATATTCATTGCACCATGATTACAAGTAAACATACTCATTCTGCTTAAGACACATGGATTCAGGTAGCCCTCCTTTTCATACATCCTTGCTTCAAACCTAGGTATGCAGATCATTGGTATACTTTGCCCCTTTCCTTTTCCCTGGACAGCAGGCTGGGGATAAAAGGCTCAAGAAGGACAATAGTAGGAACTCTGTTTAGGACTTGAAACCAACAGAGTCACACACAGGGATTCAACAGACACTTGTGCAGTTATTAACAGTGTGACACACTGATTTGGCCTGAGCTATTGCTGTGTACATGCAATCCCTTATAATCTCTTACAATCGTTTTTATATAGAATTTGGGTTTCCTGACACCCACATACATAATATTATAAAAAATCATACCCATTTTCATATATAAAAGAACTAAATGAAAGACAATTATGAAACATCCTCACAGCAGAGAAAAATAGCTATGCAAGAAGACAGCAAGGAAAGCCTAAAGAGGCAGAGTCCGCCTTACCTTCTTAATGAATGCCACCGAAAATGTATCCCAGGACACTATGCCATGGTCCATCAGCTCAACGAAGGCCGTCAGGGTGAAGGACAGCATGTCTCCAAAGCTGAAAAAGACAGGGAGGCACAAGAGTCAAGAACCCCAAAGGTGAGCAAAGACACTGACGCAAGAAAGTTCTGGGGAAGTGAATACAAGCAGAATTTTAAAAGATCAAGAGATAAACAGCAGGACCACAGGTGACTTTCTCACTAACATGAGTGACAAGAAGGGGCAGGATGGCCTTGCTGAGGTCAACCAGGGCTTCAGCATCCAACAGACCTGGGCTCACACCAACTCTTGCTCTGGTGAGCTATGTTGTTCTGGGCAATTCACTGACCCTGTCTGAGCCTCTATTTCTTCAGCTGAAAAACTGGGTGGTGATATCTATTTAGCCACAGAGCTACTTACTTAATAAAGCATGTAGCATATAGATACTTAGTAAATGATGACTTAAAGAAAAGCTTCTTGGCTAATGAAATTTGGAGTCGCTTAGGGAGGGCAATGTGCTTCCTTTATTACCCATACACATCAAAAGAGAAAATTAAAAATACTTCTATTAAGAGAATTAGTACTTTTTTTTTTTAAGTGGTCTATACATCCCTGTGTGGACACACAGACACAAACATATATGCAAGTAAACATACTCATTTTGATGTTGGCCAGCATTTCGTCTTTAGTTAATAACTTTTCTGGCATATCGATGGAGATAATCACTCCACATAATGGGTTTGCTGACAAAGACTTGCTGAGATTCAGCAGGCCATAAGGTGGGCCTAATATGTGGTTTGAAAATCCAAACAGAGATTAGGCTCAGACAAATGCAGTTCCACCTAGGACCCTTATTAGACAATATCCTGGTTTCTAGAGCTTTCAAAACAACACTTTAGTAGAGACTTAGATGCACAGAATCTTTTACAGATATTCACCTTTATTGTAAATTATCATCTTCATAAATATTAACACCTTTATGATAAATACTCTTTCTTTGAGTACAATGAATTATGCCAATCAAGATCTGCACAATGTATTACACAACAGCACTGATTCCTAGGCTCAATTTTTTAAAAAATAAAGTTGGTTATATAGATTTTTCATTTGTAGGCTCATGCATACCATTATCGATACCCTACAAAGTCTCCTAACATATTTAGAGTGAACCTTCCCACTTATTTCCAACTAGTAGAATAGAAAACAGGTAACATTTCTTTCGAAACAGCTTCTCAATTTCCCTTCTTCCTACTGTTCTATTCGGCCCAGCCTCAAAAACAACCTTTGAAATTCTGCACCACCACAGAAGACGTCATGCTAAACGGAACCTATAAAAGGGGAAGTGGTTCTCAGGGAAAGACAAAGATCCAAAGCTGCCGGAGACCAGGGAAAACAGAGGGGATGCAACCAGCTAAACGAAAACGGCTAAGCAGGTAGTTTCTGGAGTCAGACAACAGGGGTTCTCCCTCCAGCCCTAAGTAGGCAAGTTATGCAACATCCCATGCTTCTGTTTCCTCATTTATTAAAAATGGGGATGATGATGGCAGTGGTCATCACACCTAGCTCACAGATTTTTGGAGAAATGAAAACAAGCAAACATGCTTAAAGGCCTCCAAATGCTGTGCAGTGAATAGTAAGTAGCGTGTGAGTGTTACTACATTCTCACTATGCAAAAGTGAAATTTTTAAAAGGTGAATGAAGCACAAGATTTTCAAATATTTCACCTTGTGTTAAGGATTCTCTGTTCTTAGAACTAGAAAATGAAAGCAAAAACAGCAATGCAAGGAAAGCCAAACCATTCAGACCAGATGGAAAAGCAGCTAATACCTCTGGCTTTTCAGAGCTGCACGGGGCAACCTCGATCTTACAGGTGCCCCCTAGGTGGCATCAAAGGATCATGCCTCAAAAAGAAATTCCAAACCAGACAACACAAACTTATTTGAAGAACAGAACAGAACATTACAAAGACAGGTGGAATACTGAGCTGAAGAGAGTAGTGAGAAAGGTTAAATAAAAATTCTAGAATGACTCTTTCTACAGACAATGGGTCACATGAAAATCCAAATATCCGACTGCAAAAGGAAAAAAAAAAAAAAAAAAACAGAAAAGAAAGTAAAAAGATTGCCTCAGGAAAATAAGAGCCAGGAAATAAAAGCAATTAGTAAGATTTATTAACAGACTGGGTAGGCATTAGTATTACTGTGAAAACATTATTACATAGTAACATATAGCATTAGCAGTAAGCAATGTTAGCTCATTTATTTTATTTACTTAAAAAAAGGAAAAACAAGAACCAAATGATAACTAATAGTGGACATCTGGTCATACCCAGCATACTAAAAGACCTCAAATGTTAAAAAAAAAAAAAAAATCCCCTATACACGCCACAGGAGGACAGCATTCACAGCATCTCTACAAGGCAAAAAAACCTGCCTCAGTGACATCAACAGCAGCAAAGGCAATGGAACAGGCAGTGGCAGAGAAACACACACACTATTGAATCAAACTCTTGGCCTGGTGCCGTGGCTCATGCCTGTAATCCCAGCACTCTGGGAGGCTGAGGCGGGCGGATCACCTGAGGTCAGAAGTTCGAAAGCAGCCTGGCCAACGTGGTGAAACCCTGTCTCCGCTAAAAATACAAAAATTAGCCGGTCATGGTGGCAGGCACCTGTAGTCCCAGCTACTCTTCTTGGAAGGCTGAACCCAGGAGGCGGAGGCTGCAGTGAGCCAAGATCATGCCATTGCACTCCAGCCTGGGCGACAGAGTGACTCTGTCTCGAAGAAAAAAGAAAACTAACAACAACAACAAAAAACCTCTTCTCTGCACCCCCATTAGCTAGATAGCACTCAGATAAGATGAGGAAACTAGATGACATTAGTCTTTAGCAGATCCTTTAAAAGCAAAAGATAAAGTATATTTATGTCCTCTAATATATGAACGCAACATGACTCTGCTCCCTAGCTACCTGCTCAACAGAACCCTAATCCAATTGATCTTAGTAACATCTGGTACAGTCAATTGTTCTAAAAATACACTCCAGAGCTCTGTCTACAGACTCCTCAGACAGAACAGACTGCAAGGACTTTGGGGAAAAAAGGCTGAAGAGAAGGAAAAAGGGTATCATTTGGTTTCCACATCCGCACGCTTGTTTGGGAGTCAAGATTTCAATCTCTATGGCTGTTAAGAAGGTGGAGCACCATTTCTGAGACTGCAAATAGAGCTATCTGTGCTTCTCAAGTATCCATTAGTGGGAATGATTGGTAAGTGAGAGTAAAGCTTTTTCACAGCATACACCAGTCAAGGTACTCAGAGGAAGGCTAATTCTCCTGGTCTATCTAATGACATGACAGATAGGGAGAGACAGATAGGAATATATAATAGGACCTATTTTACATATTACTAGTATCTAATATTTATGTAAAATACACATAGGTATATAATATATACATATTACATAATATTCTGCATTACATACATATTCTGTATATAACATATATAATTCATTAGGACTGGTTGCTGGGTGACATAGTAACTTCCCATACGAAATAACTTTTTCCAAATTCAACTTCAAACTCTCAGTCGCAAAGAAATGATGGCCATGCTAAAATTTTATTACATTCCAAATCAAGGGATTCAATCACCTCTTTCAAGTGAGGTGGCTATAAAAGCTCTTACTGAACCTTGACATAGGTGTTTATTTCCACTCCTAGAGGAGTAATTCAGGCTCCAAACAGGGAAAGCAGAGGGCAAGTTCTGCCTCTGAAATCAGTGCTGGGTACAGAGAGTCAAGGCTAAAAGAATTACAGATAAAAAGCAATCACATGGCATATCCGGGAACATTTTTATTTGTTTGGATTATTTGTATTTTGTAAGTGTTAGGCTAAAGATTGTGCAGTACTAACAGCCACAAATTAAGTCAACTGCAAATTTTACATGCTGGTGGAAAGCCACTGTCACAGCCAACACACCATGTGTGCTGGAATGATTCAAATAAATGTTTCTCATCAACTTAGTAGACACCATCTTCATTCCAACAAAATTCAGCCAATCTCAGAACAAGCATGTAAATTTCTGCTACTAATTTTATAAAAGAATAGTGCTTCCAAATGTTTCCACAGAGTGGTAAGCCCAATAGAATTTTTTATTTTTATTTATTTAGTTTTTTTGAGACACAGTCTTACTCTTTTGCCCAGGCTGGAGTGCAATAGTGCGATCTCAGTTCTTTGCAACCTCCACCTCCCAGATTGAAGCGATTCTCCTGCCTCAGCCTCCCAAGTAGCTGGGATTACAGGTGCACACCACCACGCCCAGCTAATTTTTGTATTTTTAGTAGAGATGGAGTTTCGCCATGTTGTCCAGGCTAGTCTCAAACTCCTAACCTCAGGTGATCTACCTGCCTCAGCCTCCCAAAGTTCTGGGATTACAGGTGTGGGCCACCAAGCCCAGCCCCAATACAGAATTTGAAAAAAGATGAAAATAAGGGTCACTTTTAAAGCTATAACAAATTGTACTCAATAGATCATTAATTGTCGAGGTTAATGGCCATAGTTCTGCCCTGCCCTCTGAGGTTTTCCATCTGTTTTCCTCCTTGAGGAAGTAAAATGTATACACATTTAAAGGTATGGATTTATAAGTCATCCTTTAGAAAGCATGACTTACCTTCAGAAAACATGACTTATGTCAGCAAACATTCTTCTAGCTCCTTTGTTAAAAATTTCAGTGCAGGTTGATTCTGGACTCTATTCTACTACATTGATCTGTTTACCCCCTTATACCAGTATCAGACCATCTTGACAGCTAACCTTATAGGAAGTATTGAAATCAGTCAACGACACTCTTCAACTTTATTGTTGATCATTTTGGCTATTCTAGGTCCCATGCATTACCATTGGTTTTTAGGATTGATTTGTAATTCTTTTAAAAAATATTTGATATAGCACTGAAGCTATAGTTTGAAGATGATATGCTTTGGCTCTGTGTCCCTGCCAAAGGATGTCAGAAAAGAACTGCCATCTAATAATATTATGTCTTCCAACCCATGAAATCTATCCCTCCACTTGTTTAGATCTTCTTTATTT